TGTGAGTCCCAGGAACTGCTCTGGAAGGGGAGGGGGATGCTTCAGGCTGGGGGTCTGGCAGGGACAGGCAGGGATTTTTCTTCCCATCTCTGCTGGGAGCCGGGTGCACCCAGTGAGAAGAGGGAAAGGAGGAGAGTCATGATGGTAGAGCCCAGCTTCCATAGTGATCCTCACCTCTGGTCCAAGCACACTCCCAGATCTTCTTCTGGGGTTATTTTGTAGGGAAAACAACACTATTTCCCTCTCTGCATCTCCCCCTTCCAGAGAAATGGATTTTGGGCTGGGGTTGCTGCCCCAACCCCTGCCTCTAATTAAGGAGAAGGGTTTGTTACATTTGTGCCATTAGCAGGATTTTCCTTGGGGAAACTTCCTGAGCATTGATTCCTGTTCAAATGGGAAAACAAACACACAGTTTGTTGTGTTAATTACAGCTGGCATTCCCGGTGGGCATCCAGACTATCCCAAGCACTTCATCCTCTGCAGTGGTGGTGTATCCTGAGAATGCTGCTCCATCCCTGCTCCTCTGCTGTCCCAAAGTGGAGCTGGGATGGTTCCACAGGCAGTGCCAGTGTTCCCAGCATACTGGCAGCAACTGGACTGGCCTCGAAGTGGCCAAATTTGTGCAGAAATCCTAAGGACACAGAAAGACTTTGGAGAAGCTCTTTGGTGGGGAATGCTCTCCTGTACTGACAGGAGACAGAAGAAATAGTGCAGGCAGGGAAGAATTCCCATTTGGCACAGAATTCCCTGTGAAAGCACCATCCCTCTGACTGCTGCTTCCAGATCCCACTGGAAGTGTGAGCAGACAGGGAGCTGAATTCACTATTAGAAATCAAATTCAATTTGGGTTTTTTTTAATGTCATTTATGATGAGGTTTTTCATCCCACCTGCAAAATTTTGATGTGGACAGATAGTCTGTCCTCTTCCTTCCATATAAATTGGGTGTCTGAAGTTGGCTCCTTTCCTAGGCAGCCAAATTCCGTGTGCTTTCTCAGAGTCATGCAGCCAGTCCTCCAGAGCTAAAAATGCAGGAAGAGGGCACCAAATTGAAGCTATTTTGGAGTTGAGGTCACTTATATTTACTTGGCCAGGCTGGAGATCTGCCAAAAGACAAACCAGAATGGAGGGAACACTGATTGCAACCCAACCTGCTTCCTGAAGAATCCAGAGAGAGCAAGGATGAAAACTAGGGAGCTTTCCTAGTTGATCTAAGCAGGGAATCAATTTCTTCCTGTCCTAAATTCTCACATGTTCTTTCTAACAGCAGAACTAAGGAGATTGTATGGGGTAAGCTTGGAGATACCAAAACCTTGAGCATCCCAGGCGATTTGCTCCTTGTCTGTGACATGGATTTCTGTGGGTGAGTGATGGGAGGACACTGGGATCTCCTGGAGATCTACCTGTGTCTCAGCCTGATCCCAGGGGAGTGGGAGAGCACTGTTGGACCAGCAGGTCTTGGATGTCTCTGGTTTTGAGTACACACAGGCAGTTTCCGTCCTGCAGAGCTGCAGGAATTCCTGCTGCAGCCCTTGGAGGGTGCCACAAGGGAATGGCAAGGGCTGGCTGGGGTCATTGCTTCCCTTAGGGAAGGCAGGTGCTCTGGAAAGGGAAGGAAGAATGGAATGCAGCCAGGGAATCCTGGTTCAGGTCCTAGATGAGTGCTCCAGCTCTGCCCTCCCCGGTGGTATCACCAGCCCCTTGCAGTCTCTCCTTCCATATTTTCATTAAATTCATGGAATGTCCCTGTGTGTGTGACCCCAACACTCTGTCAGATTTCCCTGATGGAAATCATCACAAACATTCAGGAGGAATATGTGTGGATCCATGCAGAACCTGCTTGTGCCAACTCTGTTTCCACGTGAGAGCAGGATGAACCAAAGCAGCTTCCCACGAAACTCTGGGAAATCTCCTGTTCCGGCTGCCTTTTCCACCCAAATCTGGAGCTGGGACAGCTCAGGTGACGCCCACAATCCTGTGCTGGAGCACTCAGTGTACCCTCCATGCCAGGCTGCATGTGAGCCCAGGTGGGAGCTGGGATGTGACTGGGATCTGGGAAGCAGCGTGGGAGAGAGTCGGAGCTGGGAGAAGACTGGCAGGAAATGGGAGCGAGTAAATCAGCCGAGCTCGCCTGAGTTGTGACTAAAGGGGGAGCGTGAGACATCTGCAAATATTAGAGATGTGTAAACACGGAGCAGGGAGAGGGAATGGTGGAGGGAATGATTGAAGGGAGTGAACTTTTGGATGGAAAAATGTAGGTCAAGTATGAAGGAAAACTTGTAGGCAGCGAGATAAATGCTGTAAAACAACCTCCTTGGGAAACACGAGGAAGTCCCACTGATGGAGATGTTTATCCTGAGGTAGATGAGGGTTGGAAAAGAGGCTGAGCTGGAGGGATGGATTCAGGGTGTCCATCCCAGATGGGGCTGGGCACACCAGTGATGTCCATCCAGCTCCTTGTGTGTTCATAATTCCCTTTCAAACTACAGGCTGGTTGTGGTTTAGTTAATCCATCTGGATTTTAATCCTGAAGATTTCTTGGCTGTGGGAGGAATTCACCTGTCTGACTTCAGCCAGTTCAAATTCAAGCAGGTCATCCACACCAGCTGTCCAAAATCCTGGATGGTCACCAGGGGAAGGAGAAGCTCATCCAGCCCCTCACTGCCAGACACTCCGAGGTTTGGGGTGTTCTCAGGACACCCTCTCCTTGTTGCTATAAAGGCAGCCCAAATAATTAAGGTTATTAATAAGGCCTCTCTGTGTTTTGTTCCAGATTACACTGGAGTGTGTCTGGAGCGTGTGGAAACAACAGCATCATGTCCAGGCAGGGGTTTGTTGAGTCCTCAGATTAGAATAAGGATATGGCCTGTCTGAATAAATCCCGGGCACTCAGTGGGTGCTTTGGAGCCCATTTTACACCCCCTGGTGCTGTGTCCCTTCAGTGTAAGGTGTCACTGTCCCCTGAGCTCTCTAACCCTCCTTTACCTGCTGTTGAGGTTCCATAGCAGCAGTACCAGCTCCTGCTTTCCCAATGAGAAAAACTCGTGGTGCTTGCAGAGGGCCATGTGCCACCCACTGAGGGGTCCTGCTGTGTCCTCCTTGCTGTCCCTGTGTCCCCAAGGGAGCAGAGGCCATCAGGGAGGGCAGTGTTGCAGTGGGGGTTGTGGCCCCTCCAGAGCGTGGCCTCTTCCTCCTCAGCTCTAGGGAATCAGCTCAGGCAGATCATGGAGTCGTGGAATGGTTTGGGTTGGAAGGGACCTTAAACTCATCCTGGCCCTGGACACTTCCAGGGATGACATGTTCAGGGATGCAGAACCAGACCACAAAATTCTCCTGCTTGTGTCCTCACACTCTGCAGTCATTCCCTCCTCTGGAGCCATTCTACCGTGTCCCAGTAATTAACATCCAACAGGACAAGGAGAACAAGCACCTGCATTCCCTCGTCCCAGGAGGAAAACCCTGGCCACAGTACTGGGGACTGCTCCAAAATGTTCACTCCATAAATTGTGTCCTAGTGCCCTTTATACTTTTTGGGATGAAAGTTTCACCAAAGCTAACACAATTCTGTAAAAATTCTGAGTTTCATGATTTGGCATTTTCCAGGGGAAAAAAAAATCAAACTAAAATAACTTGCCAAGAATTTCCCAACCAGCTTTAATCCTGAGACACTACCGTGGTCCAAACAAACGATAATAAGGATATTTGTAAAACATGGGGAAACAAAGAAGTGATGGCTTTAAAGCCTCCAGAAAATGAAAATGCAGCTGGAAGGAGAAGCACGGAGTTTCTCTAAGCATGCCAAGGAGGGAAACTCTTTCCCTTTGAATCACAGGGAGCCCTTTCTAGCTGGTTTCAAAGGAAGTTGGATGCGGTGGTGGAATGACCGCGGTGCTGTCGCTTGCGCCCACATGAGTTCATGGATGAGCTGGAAGTGCCACGGGTTTCTTGCAGCCTGAGGAATGATGTACACCAGGAGAAATGGGAGCTTTCCCTCCCTCTCTGCTGCAGCCAGTGGAGACAACTTCCCCTATCCCTGATGCTGGGGAGAGAAGGGAGATTTGGGAATATGGTTGTAACTGAGGCCATGTGCGCTATGCCCAGCTGTCTGCCATGGGCACAGGCACATGGAGGCTGGAAGGGAAGAGGGGAAACCCAGGACTGGACAAGCTGGAGAGGCAGGGAATGTGACACAGCCTTGCAGCTACAGCTGAGCCCCCAAGGTGCTCTTCCTTCTGGAAATGTTGCCAAGCACATCTTGAGCTATCAGGAAGGTGAACAGAGCACATGGAGACACCTGTACCACTGGTACATCCCAGTGCCAGAGCATCCATGGAAAATGAACAAGTTTCCCCCTTGAGCCAAAAGAAATGGCAAAGCAGAAGTTCCAGATGTCAGGGAATCAGGAATCTCTCCCAGGACCTGGTGGGGAAGTTGAGGAAGGTGTTATTTGGTGACAGAGAGGGACAAGCCTGAGGTGCACTGGCTGCATGTGCTGCATCCCAGCTGCTTTTGTCCAGCAGATTTTCCAGCAGGAAGTTTCCAGTAAAGACCAGCCCATGATGTGTTTTGCTGTCCCATGTCCAGAGCTAATGGGGGCCAAGGCACTTTAGAGGAGGTGAGAATCCCTCCCCTTCCCAGGAGAGCAGTGGGATGTCTTGGGGATGAGGAGGATACTCTGGGTTGGGTGATAAACAGCATTTGAATTTTTTTGATGGTCTGAGCTCTTGGGTCACTGATGTTGGCAGAATCTGTTACAGTGCCTGGCTGTAGGGGACATTATTCCATGTGGTAATTAGCTTTATTTTTGTGGTGGATTTAGCTGGATAGATGAGTTCCACCATTACACTCCAGTGGGTTGTTTGAATCCATCACTGTTCAACAAATGATACCAACACACATTTCCCACAGGAGCTGGGAGTTCTCCCCTCCTCTTCCATGCTGCAATGCTCCAGCAGTCCCAGTGCTTAGGAAATGACTTATCCCTCTCCATGATTTCCCCCAGGCTGTCTACAAGGCGTGGCTGTGCTCCGAGTACTTCAACGTGACCCAGCAGCAGTGCCGGCAGCGGATCCCATGCAAGCAATACTGCCTGGAGGTGCAGACCAGGTGCCCCTTCGTGTTACCGGACAATGACGAGCTGATCTATGGAGGTTTGCCTGGCTTCATCTGTACGGGTAAGGAGGGCCGGGCTCACACCGGGCACGGGGGGTGATGGTGAGCCCTGGGGAATTTCCAAGCCACTTCCCAGGTTTGGAAGTTGGTGGAGTGGGAGGAGGGACAGTGTAGAAACATTGCCTGATGCCAAAACACGGCCATCTCAAGGATATGGGATAAGGGGTTAAGACAGCAATATCTCAGCCCAGGAGGTGAAAGTCCTACCTCTGACTGAAAGCTGAAGCATGGGAGGAGCTGCAGATGATGGGTTAAAGCAGGGTGGGAATACTGAACCGCTGTGAGCAGGATTTAAGGAGCCCTGAGCTCGCCTTGCTGGTGTGTGCAGTCTCACAGATGCACTGGGGCCAGTCCCAGGGGGTGTCTGGGTGTCTTCGTTCTCAGGTGTGCCCATCTCACTGCTGGTGGGCACCAATGCTCGCTTCCTCCACAGCCTCATCCTCAGTGTCGCACTGACCCGTCCTTCTGCTTCCTTCCTTCCTGCAGGGCTGCTGGAGAACCAGCTGCCCAACGAGGAGGCCAAGTGCTGCGAGGTGCAATGGGACTCCTGCGAGCACCCCCCAGACAGCAACGAGGACACATCCCCCAAATCCACGGCGTCAGAGTCACTCCATTTCCACCGCCACGACCCCCACCTCCATCACCAGAGGCAGAACCACTACCACCTCTACCACCACCACCACCACCAGTACCACCAGTACCACCAGCCCCATTCCCCGTCCTTGCTGCCGGTCTCCGCGGGGTCTCGCCTCAGCAGCAGCAGCAGGATCAGACTGTGTGTGCTGGTCCTGATGCTCCTCCACACCATGGTGTCCTTCTCGAGCGTGCACGGCGGCGCTGGGGGGCTCAGCCTGGAGGCCCCACCTGCCCTGGAGGAGAGCGTGGCACGGGACGAGTGACACAGAGGGCAGAGCCGACCTCCAAGGAGAACACCAGATCTTTTTCCACAAGGGGGGCACATGCTATTCCTCCAATGGGAGGCACGGGATTGGGGGTGGCGCACACGCACCCCCGCACATCCCCCAAGAGCTGCTCGCGGGGCATCCCCGTGGTGAAGAGTCTCTAACGCGCACAGGGCTGCGGGACCCGGCGCCAGAAGGGTTCGGGCAGGGCCAGCATTCCCGGCCCCGCAGGCGCCGGGCGGGCAGGAACAGCACGGGGGCGGGGAGACCGAGGGGAGGGGTCCCTTGGAATCGAAGGGTGTCCCCATGGGACTGCCGAGGGTCCCCCGGCCGCTGCCGCGAGTGCCTTGGGCGCCCGCGCCTCCCCCTCGCGCCGTGCCGAGGTTTGACGGTCGGCCCAGCCCTCGTTCCTTTTCTCCTGGGTCTGTGAATCCCGAGGGAGCAGGCTGAGGGGCAGCACCTCCCGGCACAGCCTGGCCCACTCCTGTCCCAGGGAAAAGCCACCGGCTCGGGGCAGACTCGCCCTGGTGGGGTGCAGTGTCCTCAGTGTGGCGCTGCCTCGCTGGTGACTTTTGGGGACAGGAGTGGGACGCTGTGACACTGCACTGTGGTACCACTCGGGGTTGGTCTCACTGCATCCCAGCCTGCTCCTCCAGCCTGGCCTTTCCTTCTCCTCTATGCGAGGAGGAGGAGAGGGAGGAGGCATGGAGCAGGAGGGATGTCCCCAGCATTCCCACATCCCACTTTGCCAAGTGTCCTGATGATTTGGTGTAACCTTTTCTGTTGTCCTTCCTGGCTGGTGAGACTGGTCTCAGTGAGGAGTTGGGGAGATGTGACTCCAGCAGCACACAGGCTGTGAGGGAGAGGGTTCCCATGTGGCAACAGTTTGGATGCAGGGAATCCCAAAGGCATCCTTCCATGCTTCCCGGCTACAAATCATTGACTGGATGGCAGGAGGACTGGGCAAACGGGCTGGAGAAATCTGGCTTGGAGGGAGAGTCTCCCACACAAAGAGGCACTAATAAAGCCCAGCTAGGGAGGAGCATTTTTGTGAATAGTTTCAATCCATGGATGCCCCCAGATCCGGAAATTTCTGGGAGCCCAGCTGGACTTGGCCAGGCAAGGTGCTGGCTGGTGCAGCCTCATTCGGCTCACTTGGGGTGATTTTTTTTAACCTGAGCTCAGCATATCCAGGGATTCAGCCCCAAACAAACATCAGATCTCTAGGATCTGATCCCTAGGTCATTTCCTGGGAAACTCCCAATTCTCCACCCACCCACCAGAACTGTTCCCAGCATGGACACTGTGAGGTGGTGCCTCCGGGCCGGGCACCAGGGGCTGTCATTTGTCCTGGGTGTGGGCAGGGAAGGAAGAGAGGGTGTTTTAGCACAAGATCACGAGTTGGGTGTGAACTCACTCCCTGCTCCCAGAGGGGCTGGGATGGTCCCTCTGTTTCCAGACTGGCTCTTGACAGGAACCTACAGCAGAGCCCTGTGTGGGTCACTTCAGGAGACAGGGATGGAGCAGGAGGAATGTCCTGCTGCATCCCAAATGGATCCCAGATCCCTGTGAGGGTGCAAGAAGTCTCAGAGCTGATGACCTGTAGGAGTTTTGTAGTTTCTGGTCTGTTGAGGTGAAGCAGAGCCCCGTGAGCAGAGCCCCATGAGCAAAGCTACTTCCTGCCTGGCTGGAAGAAGGAAGTACCAGGCATCTCGTGGGAAGCACAGGTTTCCTGACATTTCCAGCCCATTTCCAGACCAAAGAGGCTCTGAGAAGCAGCTGAATGTTTGATTCCTGCTTTGACTTGAATCTCAGAGCTTTGGGGTGATGTTTACACACCACCAGTTGCCTGTTCCCAAAGTCCTGCAGAGACGAGGCCTGTGATCCCATTGTCCCATGGGTTTTGGGATGGGAGAGGTGGTGCTCATGGAAGTTGGAGAGTGTTTCCTGACCAGATTCCCTTGCTATTGCCACCCAAAAAGTAGGATGTCTCTCATTTGACTATTCCTCATGACATCCATATAATTTCAGCCTAGTTTACACCAATCAGAAGAGTTGGACATGGAGCAGTTCTGCAAACCGGGATCCAATCCCTCGGTTTTCTGTGAGCAGTGGGTTGGGGAGCTGCTCTGATAAGGAGTAAAAGCTCCCAGGCAGGCCAGGGGAGGGAGCACAGCCCCATCCCTGCCTCCAGACAGCCGGATCCTGAAGGAAATTAGATTTCTCCTGTACTGCCAAGAGTTAAGCTAATTCCAGGCGCCTCTCTCAGAGATAGACTGTGTCCAATCTTGGAGCGACTCATCGGGAGAGAGAAGAATAGCCCAGTGTGGTGCGTCAGCAAGTGGCCCTGAGTCACTGGCCCTGTTCATTGTGTCATGTGTGACACTGAGCAGTGCTGGCGGGCACGCAGTGGCCCGGCCTCAGTCCCTGTGCCTCATCCAGATCCGGCACCATCCTGAGGGATGTGTGTCCTTCTCCCTGCCCCGAAGCCCTTGTGCCCTACGGGTGATGGAGCATCAGACCAGGCTGGTGATGGGTGATGTGGGATTCCCAGAGAAGCTGTGGAAGTGTCCAAGGCCAGGTTGTACAGGGCTTGAAGCAACCTGGTCCAGTAGGAAGTGTCCCTGCCCATGGCAGAGGGTGGAACAGCCTAAACCATTCCATGATTTCATGATTTCCACAGAGCTGCAGGAGTGAGATCCAACAACCCAAATCATCTTCAGGGTGTGCGGGCAGGGATTTGCTGGGATAACCTGGGAGCTGTGAGAAACAGTTTCACCTTCCCTAACACCAACTGGAGGCTTCCCCTAGGAGGTCAGGAGTGTGTGTTGCATCCCAGGGAATATGGAAGTGGAGCCAGTGCAGAACTGGGCTGGTTTGGGTGGCTCCTGGAGAGGTTTGAGCCCCATCCACTGGGAATGAAGAGGCCTCTAGGGCAGGAGATCCACACGTTTTCCAGGCCGTGGCTCCCAGGGGGTGTTCCCAAGAGAATGAGATGCCAGAGAGAGCACAGGGGATGCAGATCCTCTCTGGGAGCGTGGGATGGGCTTTACCTGCTGCAAGTGGAAGGAAAGTGCTGAGTCTTCCCAGAGCCAGGCTTTGGAAGGAGATCTTTTCTGTAGCGAGTCTGGGCTGCTGTCAATAAGTTTTGTGGTTTTAGGGCACCATATGCTGCATTCAACACTTTGCCAGTCTCCTTAAATGGATCCAGACAAGGCTGTTCCCAGAGCAGGAGCAGCTGGAAGTGGTGTATGGAGCAGTCCATCATCAGGAGCCCGTCGGATAAAATTCCTGCCTTTGGTCTGACATTACAACCTCCTAATCCTCCGTCCCCGAGCGCTCTGGCTTTGCTCTCTGAGAGAACAGCCCAGGAAGCAGACGGTGACATTGTCTCACTTAACACCACTGGCATTATTTTTATTTCAAAGTGGAGGGAATGTGCCTGGAAAAGGAGGGAGTGTGCTTGGATAAAGAAGGAATGTGCCTGAATAAGGAGGGGAAGAGCTTCCTTACCCTGTGTGTCCAGGGATGCTTTGCCCCGAGCCCTGTGTCCACCAGAGCAGGGCCCTTTGCAATCCCAAATGCTTTTCACATTCCCAAAGCCACCTTGGAAAACGTGAGCTCTAAATGATTTATCCAACCAGGAACTTAAACCCAAGGGGCTTTGTCTTTTTCATCCAATGATCTTATCTCTTCTCCCTAAAGAAGATGCCCCATGTTGGGTTTAATGTAAAACTCAACTTTTCCTTCAGTGGACAAACTTCTCTTTGCTCAGAGAAAATTCCCAGTGGGAAGCAGTGGTTCCTCCCTGGTGAGGGGGTTTCTCATCCCCAGACAAATGAGGGATGGTGATGTCTCCACAAGCTCCAGGTGTGGGCAGAGAGAAGGAGCAAAGGGAGCTGGGTCCAGCGTTATTCCCGGGTTTTGCACTTTCATGTAGCTGCCAGTTGTACAAATTAATTAAAAATAACTGAAGAAAAATCCCAAAGAAAGGCCCCGCTTCCTCTGGGGAACATTAATCATTAGCTGAGTCTTTTTCTTATGAAAATACAGATCCATGGTAGCCCCAGGCAGAAGATTCCCAGGGAGAGCCCTTACCATTCGTGCTCGGAGTTAGGGAAATCGCTTTGAAAGCATCTGACAACTAAAGCAGAACATGTTGAGTAACTTGGCAACACTGGGAAAACATCTGGAACTGGTTTTCCTTCAACACATTTTGCTTTGCTTCAAGAGGAGATGTCAGGGCAGTTCATTCACTGCCACTCAAGGCCATGGGCGGGGCCAGGAGACACTCAGCTGCCGCCTGGAGGAAGGGAATAAAGGGAAAATCCTGGACATCTGCCTCTCCTGGGCAGGATTCTGTGGGGCCAGGCCATGGAGTGTCGATGTGTGGAGCTCTGCAGATGCCACCTGGTCTCTGGTGGCACCGATGTGGTGGTTTGGGATGGGCTGTTGAGGTTGCCTGGAAATGCTGTGGCTGCCCCATCCCTGTGAGTGTCCAGGGCCAGGTTGGATGGGGCTTGGAGCAACCTGGGATAGTGGAAAGTGTCCCTGCCTATGACAGGGGGTGGAACTTCATGATCTTGAAGATCCCTTCCAACCAAAACCATTCTGGGATTCCATGATTTCCACAGAGACAAAGGGAATGAGGTCCCATAGCCCAGGTTACCCTCAGTTGTGGTTCATCCTAATCCCATTCCTGCTGGCATCTGGGAAAGGAATGCCTGTAGGGCTTGGTGGAGACAAAGTCATGACAGAAACGTTCCTGGATTCTGCCAGAAAGTGATGGGGCAGTGTACTAGTTTGAAAGCAAACCAGTGGGAGATTCCAAGTCAGAATTATGATTTAAGAAGAAAATGAAGATAAAGGCAGTAGTACAGAAACACTTGGACTGACAGAGTCAGAGCACGACCTGACCCCCTGTCAGTCAGGGTGGTGGTAGCAGTCTGATTTAAAGGTGGCTGCAGTCGTATTGGAGTGATGGAGGGGCTTCTGTTGAAGCAGTGATTCTGCAGAAAGATCTGGTCCTTCTCTGGAGGTCTGGTGGTGGTTTTGGAGCTCTTGTCCTCTGGGAATCCAGTGGTAGTGCTCCCATGGTGTTCCAAGCCACAGATTATATCCAGGTAGGAATGTTAGGTTCCTGTCCTCAGGGCTGGGGGACACACAATGAGATGATGTAATTTCATGAGTCATTCTGGGAGACCCTTCTTCAACACGTGTCACTTGCTCCTCCTCTTCTGGGCATCTCCCACAGTGCTGCTGGATGTTGTGGTGGTTGTGGAAGCAGAGCTTGTTGTTGTACCCCTTTTAGTGTCAGTCACAAATTTAATCTTTGCACGTTCCTTCTTGGCCTTCTCCAATTTGTCCATCTCAGTCTTCTGGGCTAGTGCCTCATAATATGAATCCTCTGACCAGCTATGGGGATCAAACATGTCCTTTGGGTAATTTGTACCAGTTTCATCAATGGAACAAAACTGGATCAGTTTTTCACAGATGCTGGGGTTGCAAAATTCATTTTTCTTCTGGATGATATAGTTCATATCCATGCCTTCTTTCATTTTCCTCTCATACAACTTACCAATTTTATCCTGTAATTGTTTACAACATCTGCCTGGCGGCTCAGGAGGGATTTTGATCTCATCTGGAGACATGTTCCACACTCTCTCTGAAAAAGAAGCAACTGGTTCCCAAGGATCTTTTTCCTCCACAGAATTCCTTTAGGTCACCAGCCTCAGGTTTTTCAGTTTGTGAATCGTCATCTGCTGACAGCCTGCTGTTCTCATCATCCTCCTCTTCGTACCCTTCCCTATCCAGGCAGGTAAAGTCATCTTCTCCATACCCAACTCACCCCAGGCCTCCTTCCTCTCCCGTGGGTGCTCCCCCATCGATCCCCGCTGTGT